AGCCCTGACAGGACCCAACCCAAGCTCCGTTTCCTTCCCCATGCACCCATGCACCCTTGCACCCGTACGGAATTGGCATAATGGTTGTATAATGAATGCATACGCAATTTATCTCAATTAAATGTGGATTATATTTTATGAATATTGATTTTCGTCAGGCGAAGGGGTGGTGATGGGAGTGGAGTGAAGTGGAGGCGCTCTATTAATTGGATTTTGGGTCGGAGAGTGGCTTGTTGTGTTTTGTACCCCCATCTCCACCCCCACCCCCACCCCCATCCCCATCCGATTTATGGCACTTTCTACGGGTGGATGGCACCTACCTTTGAAGGCAGCCCCCCCCGTTCACTGCCTGTGCTCTGCAGCTCCTGCAGACGCAAGGATGGGATGGGATGCAGATGCAGATACGGACGAGACCTTGAGGCCATCCATGGAGATACAGTCTCCATTCCAATTCGCTGTCTCGCTCGCTTCGCTGTTCGGCTTTTTTCTTTCTGTTCTTTTCAATTACAACGAACGAGCGAGAGAGCGAGCGCCAAAGTCAAACTTTTTTGCAATTATCTTGCGAGACACAATTTTCACTGTGTCTCGATTTTTATGAGAGTGCACAAAGTTCGCTCCCGGGGAAACTTTCTTTCCCGCAACATTTTCCATACATTTATGATGTTGTTGCCACTTCCACAGCCACCGCCACCGTTTGCTCTTAAATGAATAGCAAAACTAATACCAAATTGGATAAATACCCGAAGCATATCCAGTAGACGGATTGATTGGCCTAAAAACGATCTGGGAAAGTCCATTGTTTACTGTTTTGCTGTTACTAGCTCTCCTCAGAGAAGTCACTTCCGAATGCTGCAGACCAACCTTCGGGAGGTGCCGAGATGACTCCCAATTGCGTTGTAAAGCCCCTTGTTGTCCAAACAATTACGGAAAATGCAAAGATGGAACTCGGTCGACTTCCTATTGCGGCTATGGCCCCTGCAACTGCCAGGGGGGTGTAGAAAATGAAGGATCATATATTTGTCAAAAACGTTTTTATTGTAAGGATAATCCGTGAAAGTAGAAAATAGATTTATACTTTCATTGACCGGAACAAAGTTTTCGAAGTTTCTTCAGGGTTTGCCTGGCAAAAGGAGGCCGTACTGACCCGATACCCAGGGTATAAATGTAGAGCTGTGGCCCTAGCTGCGGCTCACAACGTTCCCCCTCGTTTTTTTTGCAAACTTTTGATTACGTTTTCACGGCGTGAAAACTTCCCTGGAGTGGGAAGAATGGAATGTGGAGTGTCGATGAGAAAAGAACCAAACTTTCGTTCAATGAATTTCGTATTCAAGTGTAACTGCGGCCTCCACGAGCGCTTCGCTTTTCTGGGATGGTATCCGAGCACCTGTTAACAGGGATGGGCTATCTATCAATATCCATGAGCGTTCCCAATCAAAATAAAACTCTCTGCTAATCATCGAGCCAATTAGCTGCCAATTACCTCACTAATGACTTTCCCACGGAATAAACCGACCGACAGACAGACATTAAGCCAAACCGCTCCAAAAGGCTAGGAATAAGGGGAAATGTTGCTCCCAAAATAAAGTCGGACATCAGAAATATGCGCCTTGTTCATGGCAGGATGTGCTCCACATTGAGGACTCGTTTATTAATATCCCGGCTGCTGGCTGCTGGCTGTTGGCTGTTGTCTGTTGACCCGGAGACTGATAAGCTTGGAAGCTCTTCCTCAATTGTCGCACGCCATTTTCACCCGCAATTCGCTTTTATGGTCGCCTCTTTACGAGCCCGACCGCCCCACCGCCCGATGACCTGACCTTATCTACGGAACGGAACTGAACCGAAACAGAGAGAAACGACAACGACAGCATCTGCCATTCATTAGGAGAAGCCTTTTTCGGGGCCTTTTCCCTGACACCCCAATTTCTTGCAGAGTCCATGCCACGTCTGCGTCTGTGGCATGAAGCTCATTAGGATTGTCCAGCGCCTGTCTACTCAGCGTTCTTCAGCGTGTATTTAAGATTGAATATTTGAGAAGCATAGAGCCGGGCCAGGCTTCTCCTTCACAACTTGCAGTCAGAGAAACAATCAACACAAAAGGTAGGGATAGGGAAAGGGATAGGACCACGGACGGACATATGTAGTTTTCAATGAGTTTTTATTGGGTTTTTAACCAATCAAATCAACCAATCAATCAACCAATCCATCTGCCGAATACGGCACGTGTACATATTTTCCTAATTCGGTATGCCTCTAATGTGCTTCTAATATGGTGTGTCCCTGACGTCGATTTGTTCGGAAAAACAGACTAGGAATTTCAAAAACTTTTTCTCGTTGATGTACAACCTTGGCTCAAGATATAAATGTATTTTTTATTTTCACGGGCTATCGTTACAATAAATAACGTCTTTGACAAATATCTGATCCTTCATTCTCTACACCCGCCGTCGCAGTTGCATCCGAAAATATTGCACTTGCCAACGCCGCAATAAGGACTCCCACGAGTTCCATCTCTGCAACGCAGACTAGCAACATGATAGATTAAATCTGACGGATCCGGGACATACTCAATAATCTTGCCAAGCTTTTTGGGAATGAACTTGGAACCTTTCTTGACACCTTGTTTGATACCTTGTTTGGCAGCTATTTTGGCAGCTGTGATCACCGGCCACAAGACAACCGGCGCCCTAGCTACTTCAGCCGCGTGGCAACAAGGTTTGTAAGCGGATCCTTTTCTACACCCGCCGTTGCAGTTACATCCGAAAATATTACACTTGCCAACGCCGCAATAAGGATTCCCACGAGTTCCATCTCCGCATTGACCTCCTCCGCAGCATTCTGACGTGACTTCTCCGAGGAGAACTAGGAACAGCAAAACGGTAAACGTGAAGTTCATCTTCGGGCGACGGCGATGAGGTTGACAATGGTTGGACAGTAGGGTTAGACGACAATATATACACTTTTCCAGATCGTTTTTAGGCCAATCAATCCGTCTACTGGATATGCTTCGAGTATTTATCCAATTTGGTATGCCATGCTTCTAATGTGGTGTGTCCGTGAAATCGATTTGTTGGAAAAAACCAACTAGAGCGGGAAAGTTGGGAATGGGAGACGGGGCATGAGCCGCGGCTCTACATTAATGCCCGGTACTCAGTGCGTGAGTGAGCTTTCTGTCTGTTGGTATCGCTGCTCGCAAGAACGGTCATTACAGGGAGGGGGTGCTCTCCGCCCTCTCTCACGACCGCTAGTTGTGTTCTATAGAACCTGTTTCCATTCATCCGGCACTGTTTTTATACCCGATACTCAAAATGAGTATTGGGGTATATTAGATTTGTGGTAAAAGTGGATGTGTCCATAAGGAATCGTTTCCGACCCCATAAAGTATATATATGTATTCTTGATCAGAATCAATAGCCTAGTCGATTGAGCCATGTCTGTCTGTCCGTCTGTCCGTCCGTCCGTCTGTCCGTCTGTCCGTCCCCTTCAGCGCCTAGTGCTCTAAGACTATAAGAGCTAGAGGAACGCCCCCACAAAGGACGAAAATCTGTGGCATCCACAATTTTGACGATACGAGAAAACTAAAAACGCAGAATCGTAGACGGCTATATCTTCTAGAGTGCAAAATCTGAACCAGATCGTATAATTATTATAGCCAGAATCACGAAAACAATTTCATTCTTTCTCGCTCTGTCTCTCTCTAACACACAGGTTTCATGGTTAAGAGCCAGAGCAACCAAATTTGGTATCCACACTCCTGTGATATCGGACCATGACCGTTTCGTGTCCAAATTTCGCCACACCCGCTTCCGCCCCCGCAAAGGACGAAAATCTGGGGCATCCACAAATCTCAGACTATTAAGGCTAGAGTAACCAAATTTAGTATCCGCACTTCTGTTAGATCTGACTATAAAACGTATATCTTAGAATTTCGCCCCACCCCCTTCCGCCCCCACAAAGGACGAAAATCTGTTGCATCCACAATATTGCAGATTTGAGAAAACTAAAAACGCAGAATCATAGATAACCACCATATCTATCAGATTGCTGAATCTAGATCAGATCAGATAATTTTTATAGCCAAAAGGAACAAATCAATTTGCAGTGGCTACGCAGCGCTACACGTTCAGACACGTTTTCTGTCTCTACCGCACGTCGCTCAATGTTGCCATACTGACAATGTATCGGCTATAAATGTAGAGCTGCGGTCGCCGCAGCAACTCACAACGTTCCCCCTCGTTTTTTGTATACCGCTGCATCTGTATCTCTCGCTTCCCACAGCACTACCAGCCGTAATATCTCGCTAATATACACCAAATACTCTTTGAGTGTCGGGTACTAAAATTATGAATCAATTTTCCCATCGCGATGGAGAGAGCAAAGTGCAAAGTCATCAGAGCAACTGCATCACGAGTAGCCGGATCCGGAGAGATGATACAATTTCCAGTGAACACTGGATACTCGAGACTGGATCTTTGCATCCTTGCATCCTTGCATCCTTGAATCCTTGGATGCAAAACGATAATTTTTCTGAAAATACATATTGTAAAGCCCCGAAGAGGGAGTAGGCCACGGAAAAGTCATCATGTTAAGGAAAGTCTGGGGATACTCTGACTTTCAGTTCAGTCTTTAATGGGGATTCGATTCGATTCCCGTGGATGTTTTCAAAGATTTCAGTAGTTTTCAGTTTTGTTTTTATGTTCGAAAGGAATCGGTTCGGTTCGTGTTTTTTGTCGTGTCGTCTAGTAATCAAATAAGTAGAAAACTGAAATTTTAACAAAAGTTCTTTTATACGATGGACCGCAATTTGGTGTTTTTCAGTGGCATTCCGTACAGCCATCTAAATTTAGTCGAAAACCCTCAGAGCCAAATTGGGCCTAGTCCTGGGCCCCATACAAATCGCATTGTTGACTCCTGCGACCCGTATTGCTACGAGGACGGCGGTGGCGATGCACGCACTCTGTTCCTGGACGTTGACGAGGAGCAGGAGGGGGAGGGGGAGGAGGAGGAGGAGGAGGAGGAGGAGGAGGAGAAGGAGAAGGAGAAGGAGGAGATCCACTCATCCTACGCCTCCCCTGCTGAAGTGCAGCTGCAGAAAATGGATATGGATGAGGATGTGGGCATGGATATGGGGCGGAATGTATCTGTTGTGAATCCCGTGCTACACTCACCCCCAGAAGGGGGTGGCGCCTCGGTGGCGAGCCGCTCCTTCGGACGGCTGCCGTATCTGAATCTGAGTCTGAATCTGGAGCAGCGTACAACTGCCCCGTGCTTCTGCCCCGCCATCCTCGTTGGCCACGAGCAGTATGTGCTGCAGCCGGACACCATTTTCGTGCTGGGGATGCGTCCGAGCATCACCAAGAACGACATAATCGTGTGCTTCGGCAAGATCGGACACATCAAGGTGGACGAGGGGACCGACAAGCCGAAGATCTTCGTCTACAAGGACAAGCTGACGGGCCGCTCCAAGGGGGAGGCAACCATCACCTACGTGAGCCCCCTGTCGGCCCATGCGGCCATAACAGCGATGAGTGGCAGGCGATTCATGGGCCATACCCTGACAGTCCTCCCCGCCTACCTCTCCACTCGCGCCGGGAGCGTGCGCTACAGCTACCCCCGCCACCCGCGGAGTGACACGGGGGAGCAGCAGCAACAGCACCCGCGCACCCCCAAGTGGAAGCCGGCCAGCGACAACTGGTCCTGTCTTGTGTGCCGCAACAGCAACTTCGTGTGGCGCTCCTCCTGCAACCGCTGCCAGGCGGAGAAGGGCACGGCCCCAACCCCTGGCGTTGGCCCCGGACGACGGCCCCACAACAACGATTGGCTGTGCGACGGTTGCAACAACATCAACTTCTGGTATCGCAAGAGGTGCAATCTGTGCAATTTCCCCAAGGCCGAAGAGACCGCCAGCGACTCCGCCGTGAACCCCACAATGGAGAAGGAAAAGTGGGAGCTAGTGCTGCAGTCCTCGGTGCAGGATCTTCTCTCCTCCCACGGCACTAAAGACGATGTTTCGATCGATGTTTAATGTTTCATGTTTAATATTCAATAGCCAAAATGCCTCTAAATTCGATGTAATAAATGTCACGTTCAATTTTGAAATCATTTCTGGAATCAAATGAAGCCGCAAATGAAAAGAAGACACTTGGTTCACAAACGTAAGCCGTATAGCCGTATAGCCGTAAAAGTACCAACGTTTTCTCTGGCATTCCCTGGCTTTTGCCATTGTGCCACAGGCGGGACAATGGCCCCGCCCCAGGGGCGCATCTGCACACTGCCCACTGCACTGGCGGGTAAATCCACTTAATCCAGGCCAACTGAATATTTTACTCGTGCACAAAAGGCACGCCCCCATCCGACTCCCTGGACGGCAGCATCTGCATTCACCTGGAGAGCTCCTCTAATCGTTTAATGAATTTATTTACTTGCCTTGTGCTCTCGCATTGGGAGTGGCAGTGTGGCAGTGGCAAACCACTTGAATCTGTCCTTCCACAGCCCGCTGGTCATTCCTCCTCCCAGTGTGTCATGTGATTTAATCAAACTTTGCTGCAGCCAAATCTCTCCCTTCATTCAACAAAGAGCCTCTCCCAAAGCGTAGCCTGGCTGCGCATTTTCTTGGCACCCGCATCGCCCATCCCCATCCCCATCCCCTTTCCCCTTACCCTTCCCTTCCCTCTCCTGCCACAGGCGCCTGGTGGACTTTGTGTTGTGTTGAATTTACTTTGCACTTTCTTCCACGCGAACGAAGATGGCAGCTGGATGGACCTGGGTCCTCGTCCTGCGTCCTTGCGTCCGCCTGGAGTCCGTTCCTGTTCTTTGCTCTGGCGCCCGCAGGATATTTGCGTAGCTGCAGGTGTAGCCCCCTCTCTCCTCTTCGCGCCTGTTGCGCAACAGTGTCGCACTTCACTGCTGGTGCCTGGTGCTGCCATGATGCCGATTTAAGTGCCACAGAAGGAGAGTAAATGCAATAAACACCATTAGCTGCAACGACTTCTTCCCTCCCAGAGCATTGGCCGTTGGTTGGGGCTCGTGGTGCATGTTTTACTTTGGTTTTTCAGCCAGGAAAAGTTTACTCCTTGGCCCAAGAACTAGGCCACCAAGCGAACAAGGTAAGCTAAAAGCAAAAAGCAAAAGGCAAAAAGAAACCGAAACGAAACGAGTGGAAAACGTTGCGGCGGCATCAAAATGCAAAGGCGAAAAGCACCAACTTATTCGTAAGTGAATTGAATGGAAAACTTTCAAACTGCGGGCGCCATAAACTCTGAACTGCAGGACGAAGGACGAAGCACGAAGGAAACTTTCCTGAATCCTGATGGGTTTATAGCTCCGAAGATTGTCTGCTGTTTGTGCTTTTTCCCCAACATTTCAACATAATTAGGCCATTAGATAACTTGATTTTGGCTTCCAGGGGATGGATGCTCCTCGTGGGTCTGCCTTCGAGCACTACATATACAATATTCCTCAGCACTTGCCTCTCCTGTCTCCTGTTTCCTGTTTCCTGCCTTCTGCCTGTCTGAAGGAGGTGTCATTCACAAGAATAAATAATCCTCGAATGCCGAATGCCGAGTGCCGCAAAAACATAAAACAAACCGCCTTTTCGCTTTGGCGCCTCTTGCCTCCTCTTCGGCGGCGTTGAGCACTTGCAGACATTTCTTTCACTGAAATCCACTCAACTTCACCCCCACATGTACGTGGGTGCCACAGAATGCAGCTCTTGCGGTTCATTGTACTTTACGAGCGCAGTTTTTAGCGTAGAGGGGCGGAGCATCGCCCCTCGCGACTTCCGCATGTTTTTCCCCATCGCCGGCTAACGGCCAACGGCTGCCGCCGTTTTGTTGCGTTTTTGCCTTTGTCTGCTCTGCTCTGCCCTTTGCACGTGCATCGAACAATGGCCCCTCCCACCAGCTCCCACCAACACAGAGCGTTGAAATGTTTGGCTATAAATTATGGCAACTGTCGCCACTAAGATCGAAACTGAAACTGAAGCTGAAACTGAAAGCCCCGCTAGATGGGCGATGGGCTTAGATTGGCATGGATCTGACGGCTCTGACAGCTCCAAAGCCTCGATGGTTGTGGCATTGCTGCATTCGAATATCACGTATACGTAGCGGGGTGCCCGGCTTCTGGCTGTCATATTGCAAAACGAAACGACACGCTAGGGAGCTAGAGAGCTGCCACCATTGCCACCATTCTGTTGATGCCGCTGTCTTTTTTCGGTCTGCGGTCGCATTATCCACAGGATCCAGAGGATACACAGATGCAAACGTGCAAGAGATGCCATGCCGCTCTCCAGTTTTGTGCATTTGTGGGTTCTGTCCTGTCCTGACAGCTGTTCGTGTTTTTGTCGAGAATGGCCGTCACATTAGCACCATTTTTCAGCACTCTGCGGTCATAATTCACCAAAATTAATTGTCGCATTCCGCAGTCGCACTTTGTGCGGCTTCTCGGCTTCTATTTTCCCCAAAAAAGTCTCTGGGGTGCTGTAAATATCGATGGCAGGACATTCTGCCACGGCTACTCCTCGACCCGGCTTGTAGAGTTCCGTATTTAAGAGACGCCACTTTAAATCTCCTCACTTGGCCGCTAATATTCTTTGGCAGTTGTCCAAAGAGGACCCTCGCATTAGCATTTTCCCTCTGCTTTGGATGGGGAAAAATAGGGGAAAATTATGCTAAACATTATAATAAAATTTAATAATAAAGAATACCAAAGGCAGGATTCCCTTGATTGTCCTGTCCCTCAATGTGTAACGACGACCCGGCGCTAATTCTGCAACATTCTTTATGCAAATATCCGAGTCCAGACTGCACCTTTTTTTCGGGAACAGAGGACTAGAAAGGGTAGAAAGGTTTCCCCCAGCTGTGGCTGTCTTTATCAGGTATTTGTTTATACAGCTGCAATGCCGAGGTTTATTTTATTTTATTAGATTTCTTTGGCTCCTGCCCACTGCTTCCTCCCCCTTGCTAGCATTTATCCAAATGGCTCTTGCAAATAGGCAAATAAGTACTTGGTAAGTAAATTCTGGGCGTCACCTGGGGAGAGTCGGTCCATAGACTTCCATTGGCCATAAAAATAAGCCCAAAGACAGACATTGGCCTAGGAATATCCTGGTACTCTCGTAATGCCGCCAAAAAGTTGAAAACTTTTGGGGTTATAAAATGAACGGAGAATGGATTCAAAACTTTCGCCATTGAGTGGCGTACACATCGTGGGAGAGGAAGCGGAAGAGGGGGCAGTGGCAGTTGCAGTGGCACACAGTGGCAGTGGCACACAGTGGTACGCGTTTCAGCCAAAGTCTCCGCATATTTAGGCCCTATTTATCTCTTGGTTGTGCGGCCCACTGTGGCCGCCTAAATTTCCAACCGAACTTCCCCTCTGGAAACAATATAAAAACGCTGCTCCGCACAATGCATGCGGCATAAAAAGCGGGCTTATTACGCCCTATATGTTGTCGGGAAAGGGCGGAAGAGCGGAAGGGCGGAAGGGGGGAAGGAAGCGGAAGCAGTTCCAGTTTGAGTAACAATTGAAATAAATGAATTTGCCCAAAGGATTCAAAGGATTCCACCCCAAAGGGTGGAGCATAAAATTCAGGGAATGGCCCGCGATGCCTCCCAAATGTTGATATTCCCCTCTCTCGCTCTCCCTCTCCCTCCTGTAATTGGAAGCACTTTACAGTCGTTTTCCCCGGCAACCACAAAAGGCGGAACCCACCGAAAAAATTACATCAAAATTGCAATCAAATCCAAATCAAAAGTTTGGATCCATCCATCCCCTGTTTCCGACTTAAGGATTCCGTGCCCTTAAAGAAACAGCGTGCGCCAGCATCCTCCCATATGGTAGTGTGCCATGGGGGGATCCCCCCCACAACTAAGCCAATTTCGCGTCGCCCCACCGACTGGCAGACCAGGCACCAGGCACCCGGCACCAGGCACCTATTTCAAACTCAATTAAACACGGAAAGGGCAGCAGCAGCAGCAGCAGAGGAATCTGCCCTCCATCTACCGTTGAACCTTCTCCTGCTCCTCCTCCTCCTCCTGCTCCTCCTCCTCCTCCTGCTCCACGGTGGACGCAGCTGTTCTTTATGTGGTGGGGATGCTGCTGCTGTTCGGGGTGCACTCCGCATCGGGTGGATTTAATATTTGAATACTGTTGCCAGCAGCAGCCGCACTGCCTCCTCTGTCTGTCAGCCTGTCTGCCAGCCTGCCTGGGTCTTTATTTTGATCCCATTTAAGGGGCTGCAGGCAGCAGGGTTCAGCTCGGTTCGGTTCGGTTCTTTGTTCTTTTGAGAGTACAACTAAATAAAGAGCTACGGCTTGGTTCGGTTCGGTCAATGTCGAAACTTTTAATAATAGTTTGGCAGACTTTAACTTTGTTAGTTAGCCAGGTCTTCGGTCTTCTACTGCCACTACTAGCGTCCAGCCTCCTGCTTTGCATTATCTCTGGTCTTTCTGGCTTTCGTGCAATATTTAAATTTTCATCACAGCAGCAACAACAGCAACTTGAGCATCAATAAACCCCGCTTTGCCGATTAGAATGTTTGCTGTGTTCTTCCGGTCATTTGCATATGTACATCTCCCATAGAGGCAGGACAGGACAGGACAGGACAGGAGAGGCAGACAGACAGGATACACGTGAGGCAACTCTTTTGACCCATATGACCCATGGCATTTGAAGCTGAAGCTGACCCGCATCGTGGGTGGCCATGGGATGACGCTGCAGACCCACCTTTAGGCCTTGTAGGCCGAATACCAGTACCCGTTTGGGCCAAATATTTGGCCAACAAATTGATTTCATTCAAAAACAATTGCTTGTCCTGGGCTTCTCGCCGCCCTGCACTCCGTCTTCGCACAGAATAGTAAGTACATCAGCCGAGCAATCATTGAATTATCCTTAAATATATCTCTCCGCTCCCTGCTCTGTCGCTATCGGGATTGCCAGTCAAGCATATTGTCCATCGGTCCACCTGTCATTCTGTCCGGCTTCCCGTTTGACGGCCTTATTCGCAGAGATTAAAAGATACATTTCCAGTGACTCTCTCACAGAGTAGCCTAGCAGTAAGCGTCTCTCTCTCTCTGTGTCCTTCTATTGGCCTGTTTGCTCTTTAGCGCTGGCTCTATTTTTTAGATTTGTTTTTATAGATTTTATTGTATGCCATTCGTCGATTTGGGATGACTGCCAGACGACAGACACACCTGCCTGCCGTTCACTGTGACTGTGACAGTGACTGTGACTCTTTGGCTGTTTTATGACTGGCAAACATTTAAACATTGAAATGTTTTTGGGGTCAACGAACCGGCATCCACTCGGTAGCCCATCCACAAGCCTCGTTGCCATTGACCATTGCAACCATTCAAAAACCATTGGAGCGTAAAGCTGGCCAATTATTGTGTGCAATGTCCATAAATAATATGGATAGCATAGATTCTAAATGCAAGGAGTAGGAGTGGAAGTACGAGTAAGAGTGGCAGTAGGCAGTAGGCGGAGCTCTCAAGGGGGCTCCAGAGTGCTCCAAATAGTGCCACTTGCATCGAATGGGGGGGGGGGGGGGGGAGCAGCTTCCTTCCAATCTAATCCAAAGAGCCCTTTGCCCCTCTAGGGCTCTAGGCTCTGTTTGTCCCCGGCACACATTTCGAGTGTTTTGTTTATGTGGAGCACACATTTCCATCTCAAGACATGGAGCCGCCGTCGTTTGCATAATAATTTAACTCATTATCCACTCCCTCTTGGCCTGCACCAGGCAGCATGCACCCGACTAAATAAGCATAAGTAAGACACGCGTTTGCCACAGGAGAGAGCGGAGCGGTGGAGAGGAGGTGTGGAGGGGCAGGCGAATGCTGTTGAGTCTCGCAAAAGGATTTACGGCACCTTGGAGCACTAACGAGGTAATTTTAAGGCTCTGCGAGGTCAAGATGTGACGACGAAGACGACGAAGCTCCAAGCTCCAACCTCCAAGCGTTGATGAATGCGTTTCTGTGTTGTGCTCCTGCTGTTCATTACGTATACGACACGTAGTCGTACCTGTGTGTGTCCTGGCATCTAAAATATGTTTCCTTTCGTTTCGTTTCGCTTGCCATCTAAATTCTCTACTTCTTTGTTTCTTTCTTTGGCGTTTAGGAATAGTTTGCTTAAACAGCAGCTCCATTCAATCAACAATTCCCATCTCCATAGCAGGAGATGGGCAAGGAGGCGGCAGGAAATGCGTCTATTTTTTCACTCTGATGTACGTCCTTATCCTTCGCGAGTCTGGGACGGTGCGGGGCAGGGGCTGGGGCAGGGGTGCTCTCTTCTTGTCTTTTCTATCCTTCTCGCTACTCTCTAATCTCCTTCTCTTCATGGCTATTATCGCATTCCTGTAGCAGCCGTCGAAGGGGTTCGTTTAGCTCCCACTCTCCGCCCCCCTGTAGGGGGGTCACGGCTCATCTCTGCTGCAGAACCCCTGATGCAGCAGCAGCAGCAGCAGTTCACTTAACTTACTCAAGTCGTTGACGGCATAACTTCCGCTTCCCCTTGCGACCCCGACCCCCCACCCGCTGGGGGGCGGGGGGCAGAGATGTGCCAGGGCTTAGTGTCTTAATGCCAATGCTCGCACATTTTATACAATTTCTTATACACATTTTGAAATGCTTTAGGAGCTGCATGCACTTACATCTTCAATAGGATGCGATGGGGAATGGGAATGGGAATGAGGATGTCTATGGATGTGGATGTGGATGTGTGGTAGCTGGATTACATTCGAATACTCCTACAAAGACGATTGCCAAAGACGCAGACTGTATTTACAATGCCACAGAGAAGGGTAGGGAGGGGTAGGGGTAGGGGTATGGGTACGATGATTCCCATTTTGTTTGATCTGCACTCAGTTCTGTGTCTGTGCCGGCTAAAAAAAAGGGGTCACGTCTAAGGAAAACCATCTTCCACTGCAGTGAACGGACGGATTGATAGATGGATGGATGGATGTGTATTTTCAGTTCAATTAGCAGCGTTTAAAGAACCTTTGAATGCCGAATACGAGGCTGCTTAGTGCTTAGTGAAACCTACTTTGATCAACGACTTGCCACCGAGATGCTAATTGATCTGATTTCCTCCGACTCAAAGATGCCTCAGAAGAAAGTGAGTTTTGGGTTCTGTGCTGCGATTCTGTGGCTCAGTTCTTAAACTCTTCTCGAAGCGATCGCACAAATGCATCATCGGACACTTTTGACACTTTTTCCGGCTGCGCTGCTATTTCTGGCCTGCGCCTGGGTCCGTGCCGGAGTCCAGGGAAACCATCTGAAACGCTTCAGCCGATCGCTCATCTTTCCGCCGACCAGTCCGACGCGGGTTCAGTTTATTGGCGGCATTGGCATACCCGTCGAGGGGCTGCACTTCGAGTCCGTGACCTCGGGATACGTCCTCAAGGCCGAGTATTTCCTGCCCACCAACTCCACGGAGATCACGCGGGTCTACCTCAAGCCCCAGGCCATAACGGGCCGAGGGGACGAGTCGAACTACGGCGCTCTCTACCGCTGGATCGTGTACCGCGGCATCGAGATGGTCATAGCGAACGCCGGCCTCCCGGGACGCGGCTGCCTCCTGCGTCTGATCTGCGAGCACGCAGCCCTGCCGCTGAGCCACGAGAGCGGTCTGCTCGGGGAAGTGCTGGACATCGTCCTCACGCCCTCGAGCTCCAGGGACGAGCCGACGGGCGCCGGCTCAGACCGCGACTACCACGCCTCGGAGCGGTTCGGCAGGCGAGGCGGCGACTGCGAGGCCTTCTATGGGGGCGAGTGCCAAAAGACGCCCCTGGATCTCATCAGCCTGCTGCTGGAAGTCAATTAATAAAAGGATACACATAATTATATGAATAGCAAGCAGAGTTTCAATGTTAGACGAGGAGGCAGGCATGCAACAAAACGGCAATCACGTACATTCCCCCTCGCACCCCCTGGCCCCTGTGATGACTGAATTACAAAAGCTGATAAACATTTTAATTAGTTTTCGCATTCGCTGCGTGCGTGTCCTGCATTCGGAGGAGCATCGGAGGAGCATCAGTTGTAATTAAACGCAGGATATATGACAGCCGCCACTGCGTATGCGTAATGTGCGACAGCAAGAGGCGGTGGGGAAGATAGGTCACAGGCCACACAGGTGGCACTTAATTCGTTTAAATTTAAATGGCAAATGGATTATGTGGCGACTGGACTGCACTCCCTTCTCGATTGAGTTATCCAGGACACGTGTCGGCTCCTTCACCGGTCCGACTGGCACTGGCACTGACACTCCTCCCTGCCCCCTGCCCCCTGCCCCCTGCCCCCTGCCCCCTGCCGATTCCTGGACAGGCGCCTATAGAGCCATGAAATAATTACACACATCGGAAATGGGAAACGCGTCCAGAATCAAGGATGACGGGGGCGGATAACAGGAATAACAGGAGTCTCCTCTGGAGGCGCTTGCTTGTGGCCTGGCTTCAATGCCAGAGACTGTGGCATGTGGCATGTGGAATGTGGAAATGAGTTTAATATTAATTAACAGCCTGTCAACGCGTCTGTGGCAAGTGTGTGGCAGCCGCATGCAGCAAAACGGAAAGCCAATAGAGCGAACGCCAAAGCCCCCCGCTCGCCCCCCTGCTCTCCACCTTCCCAATGGGTTCGGGGGTCATTCGGTCATTAGTTGAACTGAGCGTGTGTGTGTTTGTGTTTGTTTACTTTAAACCCCCTCCCTCCCCCCCGCCAGAGGGTTTGCATCTGTGCTCCGTTTGCTCTTTTGCTCGCTTGCTCGTTTCTGTGTGTGGCACGACCCCCAGGCCGGGTCCTGGGCAAAAACCATAATAAAAATAATAACAATATGGAAATGGAATTCTTTCGGGCAATCGCCCGTCCTTTGTGGGAAGCTGGGTGGCACAGGATTGGGGGGGGGGGGTTCGGGGGTGGACAGGCAACAGGCCTGTTGGGTCCATTTGTCTTCAATTTATAGTTGCCCCAAGGCTGGGTGTGTTCTGGTCAACATATGTGCTAAATTATTCAGCCAAATGCAAATGCAATTTCATGGCCAAAAGGGGCCCCGCAGGACATTCACAGACGGGGGCGGGGAGGGGCCTTAAATTAAAGATTTGCAAAACTTTAGCAATGTTTATAAAGGCTTAAAGTATGTTCTGTTCCTGAGCGATTTACGCCCCAAAGCTGACAAACGAGACGTTTCCTGTCGCCCTCCTCGGGGCCCCTGCGTTGGTCTGTGGAGGGACCCACCAGCCCCCAGCCAACTGCAATCCTTTCACACACTAAACACCATCTAAATACGGGACGAGCAGCTCCCTCCTGCTGGGCGGTGGGGCTGGGCCCGGTCGAGGGTCTGCAAGTTTGTAGTGCCCGGATTTATGGCCAAATGTGGAGATAAACTTGCCGTCATTTATCAAGGAAGCGTCCAGGGCATCCAGGCATTCAGGCATCGCTCCTGCTTCGACCTTTGAAAATATTTTGACTTGAAATGATTACGCCGAAAACTCAACAGATAAAACCCTGGAACCCTGGCAGCGACCATAAATCAGTAACTAAATGTGACTCCATCTCGGCCCCCCCCCCTGGACCCTGTGCACTTCGTGGACTTTGGACACTTAACAGGGAGGGGGGATGGGGGGGGGGGGGCCCTCGTTCGTTCGAGTGGCTGTTGGCCAAAGGTAGTGGCAGCAAGACCAAATTGCAGTCAGCAGTCAAGGAATGGGGCATGGAGCATGGGGCATGGGGCATAGATTGGCAACATTTGATGGCAAAAGTTACGTTCGCATTTATCTTTCGAGCAGGAGTGTCGCTTGCGAGAGAGTTTCTTGAACCACAGCCAAGACCGGAAAGCTCTTCCATTCGGATGGGCCCCGTCCTGCTGTCCTGCTGTCCCACCGTCCTGCTGTCCCCCCGTCCCCCCGTCCAGCAGAGTGTGGCTTTGGCGCTTCAAAAAGGGTTCCGTTCCACACTGACAAATGTCCTTCCGCTGCTGACGCGGGAGGGGGTGTGGGGATACACGTTTTGCAGTTGTTATTGCTGTGTGCTGCCTAATTGCCGCTTGCCACAAAACAAATTAAGGAATATTTAGGTACATTTGGGAATATTAACTGCTCCGCAGACTGTTGCCTGCCACAGGCAATGAAGCGCAGTATCCTTACAATCAGAGTTAGGAGCAAACGACACCGACACCGAATCCGCAGCGCAGGAACCAAAGGAACTCTGTGCCCCTCCCCCACCGCCCTCCACCGCCCCCTTGTGCAGCCGCGATGCCAATTTGCATGCATTACAAATCAAGCTGCCATCCGTGGCATTCTGTTGCAACTGCTGTCAAACTCCCGAAACTCTCGGCATTTGTTGTCATTTGACAAATTAGCTGCCTTTGCGGCAGTTGCCGCTCGAAGGGGCAACGGGGAATCACTTGAGTTTGTCTCTCGGGGGAAATGTGATTTATGTGGCATTAATAATAATTTATATTTACCGGAGACCAGGAGACCAGCCACGACAAGGAATACCATTCCAAGGAATGAATGAGGCCCGAATCGAGGGCCAAATATTGCGGCAGATTAGCATAATCAAGTGGGTTCCTGCTCCTTGCGCCATGGATTGTCTGAGAGTAGACAACACGTCGTATGCGCAATATTAATTATTCAAAGAGCGACGAAAATATTGCACGTTGTATGCGATACAGGCAACAAAAAACAATGCGGCATGCCCCTTGTGAGCAGGCACACTCCCCTCCCTTGGCCCTGCTTCCATTCTGGTGTCCCCGTGCCCCCGTGCCCCTGTGCCCCTGTCTCCCCTCGCAATAAGCGAAACAATTTCATCAAAATTACAAAAATGTGAGCAAACACATTTTATTTGCGCTCTTAAGTTTGTTGCACGTTTAGCCGTTGCCAGCTGCCACAGTGCCTCGTATGCGAGGAGCGTGTGCCTCACACATAAATCGTTGACAAATTCTGCGCGACTTTCTTTCTGTTTCTTTCCTTTGCGTTGCTTTGCTTTACTTTCCTCTGCTTTCATTTAATTTCAGTTTATTTCGCTCTCTTTTTGGGCCTTTGTTCGGTTGTGTTTCCCCCCCCCCCCCCCCCCCCCCCCTGCTGGCTGCTGCACTGACAAGAATTTGAATAATTTGCCAAAATGTGCGAAAGTTGAAATGTTAAAATTCCGAAACGAGGCGACTCGACGGAAGGACAAAAGTTGGCAAGCGACTGGGGCTGCGTACACTTCCGGTTTGGCTGGAAAAACTGGAGTCACGACCCGCCAAATGATTGCCAAATGAATGGCTTGGAATGGCGGGGAATGGCGAGTGTCCCAGGCAGAAGAAGAACAAGTTTCCATCTTCTCGGCTTTAATGCATCGTTAAATTTATAGCCCCTCCTCTCCACCGAATATAATTTGACGCAATTCCGCTAATGTGTCGCACCATAAAACAAATCACAAACGACACTCGCATTCGCATTCCACATGCCACATTCGAGGCACAAAAGTTGTCCCTTGTTGAGTTTTCTTTTTCTCTGACTCATTGATTTTTCCACTCGTTTTTCCCCCCCTCGATTTCGATGATTAAAGGGATGCCGTCTTCCGTGGTGGGGGATGTTTGCATGACTGCTCAGTGGCATGCTGCATGCTGCATGCTGCAGGTCCCGTTCCCGCCATTATCGTCATTTTTCCCACTTTCTTGGCCAAGGAATTTTTCAATAAAGGACTCTTGTGCACAAATATTTATGTCAGCAGCGATGGCACCGCTGGCTGAGGAGATTAATAAGCAGCGCCAAGGACCTGCCTGCATGCCCCTGCCTCCTTGCCCCTCTGCCTCCTGGATGCCCAGAATTTCAGCAGCAACACAAATGATAATTAAGCAGCATAGCTGTGCGCTCTGTGCTCTCTTATGCTGAATTTATTATCAAGTTTCTTTCAACCGCAGAGTGGCTCCATCCGAGAGCGATGGCTCATCCATCATCATCTCTTGGTGGTTGCCAGGGGACTTCTATGTGCCGCCTTAAAGCACCAGAGAAAGCAATTAAAACGCACACATGAATGCTCCTCGCTGTCTCTCATTTATCCATAAATACACGTGGCATACACGTGGGGCAGGGGCAGGGGCAGGGGCAGGGGCAGGAGCACGGAACGGGGGCATATCTTTAAGCATTGCAGGATAATAATTTGCTCGGTCCTGCCCGCGGCAGACCGCCAGGATCCTCGAGCATTTAAGCCCTGCTCATTTATCACAAATTTCTCATTTGCCTTTTGCTCGGGAACTTGGCGTCCGAGTGCGAGTCCGAAAATTAATATGCGAAAATAAATTATGTGGCCAAATGAGCAACGTTTACCGCAGAGAGAGGGGAGTCGAGGGGTCGAGGGGTCAAGGGGTCGAATCCCACTTTCACACGCATGCCATTTGCTGCTCAATGGTGATTTTTTTGCGTTCGAAGAGGGGAGGCTTTTCAGCTCCATCAGTCACAGAGGGGGGAAGGAGCAGCAGGGGGAAGGAGCGGCAGGGGGAAGGGGAAGCAGTAAACATCGTTTGTCGCCCAGAAACGGCCATATCTGAATGGTAAGCATTGTGTCCCAGCCACTGGACTCCTTTAAATGGCCAACAAATAATGGACCAAGGAAGCAAAAACAAATTTCAGCCCAATGGCCGGGGCCAGTGGAGCTCTGCTCTGCTCTGCCTCGTAGGGTAATTGAATGCCGGTCAAGTGTGAACGTCCCAGAGCCAAGGAGACGGAAGCAAGTCCCCACTCCCCCCCTGCCCATCCGCTTGGAAAGCGATAAAAATTCACAGAACGCACATCCCATACGTATCCCCCGTCATGTATGGCCTTAAAGTAGTGCTTTAAAACACGGCCCCCTTGGCGGCTCCTGGCTGATCCCTGTGTGAGGGGCATACAGATACAGGATACAGATGCTCGTACTCCTCCGGTTATCTTTGGGCGAACAACAAGCCTAATTTGGACTCTAATTTGGGGGCATTCAATTGGAAAATTAAAAATTAAATTGCTTGTCTCGCTGCCTTTGCCCCCTGACCTCCGACAGGGGGGAGTGCGCGGGGGGGGAGTGCCCAACAATCCATCGCAATAAATCTCATTAACGTGCGCACACAGCAAAGAATAAAGCAGCCCTCCCAGAAACCCCCCTCCCCCCTTTAAATGGGGCTGCCCCTCCCTGACTGAAATCCCAAAATTCCCTTCCGTTCCCATCCAATTTCGAGACTAGATCCCTACCACATGTGGCATGAATAAGGCACTGATAAGATTATTTGTATCGAATGCTGCACATTTGCATCGCATGTACCTGCCACAAGAAGCGCGTGGATCTCCTTTGGCAAAGGACTCCTCTGCGTCTGCAGTTAGCAGGAGGGAGAGCGGAGCCCTTAGGCAATTGCTTCACGCCATTCGAGCCGCTGAAATATTGGCCTCGTTTGCCAGGAACCGCCCCGAGCGCCACTTACCTTCGTCCTTGCTCCTTGAAGCCTTGAGGGAGTGCTCTCGCAGAAAGGGGCTGCATGTGGGGCAGGAGCTCCAAATATTAGGCTCCATTCCCCTGAATCATCAGAATAAATATTGAAATGCAGTCGGCAGAGGTCACAGTTCACACTTTGGCATTTCCACGCACTTCCCCTGGGGGAAAATCCTTCATTTCGACATGAAAGCCACACTTCTGACTCCTGGCCAATAAAAGCCGTCTGCAAATCATCGAAAAACTAACGCCTAACGCCTCTCCCCTCTCGCCTGCCCATTTAATTGCTCTGCAAACGTTCCCCAGTTTAGCAAAAAAGAGAAAACACTGCAGGAGAGGCAAGAGACGAGGGGGGAGGGGGAGGTTGGCCGAATGTTTTTGGCTGAAATAGATTTTTTGCAGCATTTTCCTTTTTTATGAAGGCCACCAGCCATGCGAGCCGAAGGATGGCATATCCTCTGATGTCCGCCCCCCAATTAGAGTCCTGCTGATTTGGCGCACTTAGCGAGAGGCATGTGTTGTACGGCTCGTTGCCCCTGCGGGCCACGGAGGGCCGCTCGACTGTTGTAGGAACCCATTAAGATCATGCTCCATTAATTGAGTTCCAATGAAATCGCCAGATCCCCTCTGTTGCCCCTGTTGCCCCTGTTCCATGTGGCATGGTGGCATGCTTGAATGGTACTTGTTACTCTGCAGGGGCGTGGACGTGGGCGTGGCTGATTGGGAGGGTCGTGTCAAAATTGTGCATGTTCCAAATGGTTTTTTGGCCCCGACACCGCACCGCTGTGGCTGTGGCAGTGGCAGTGGCAGTGGCAGCAAATGAAGTTACACTTGCAAAAAAAGCGGGGAGATTTGAGGCCCAAAAAGCCTAGGAGGAGACGTGGCAGGGGCATAGGATGGGGGCAGGATGAGGGCAGGATAGAGGCAGGATGAGGGCAGGATGAGGGCAGGTTAGAGGCAGGATATTCTGGGTTACCAGAGACGAGAAGAGAATTAAATATGCATGGCTATGTTTTGGAGGCCCATCGATTGCTTTGCCCCGAACCAAGGCTCCCCCATGGGGCATGCTCCCCCCAGACCGTAATTGTAATTAGCTTCCACACGGAGAGAGCGAGCGCGCGAGTGGCTGCTGGCAACAAAGGATCTGCCTGGCCTGATTGTGGGATTGTAATTGTAATTGTGGGTGTGAAATCGGAGAAGAGGAGAGTGCCTAAATTGTGCTAAATGGGTTAGCCACTGGTCGCCGGCTCTGGCCCCTGGCTGTGGCAGATAAAAGGCATGAATAATCTGGCTGGTGGGGATGTGCCTTAGCTTCTGCTGAATCCTGAATCCTGATTGATTATTCCGTGTGTGTGGGGCAGCACTCATGTGTCTGTTATTGTTAATAAATGAGTGAGTAAAATACTATAATCGAAGTCGAGTCCCACTTCCTTCCCCCTTGGGCTTGGCCCCATTGTCCTGCAAGCAAGGACCCTTGTCCTGCCGTAATGAACTTGTTCCTGCAGTTTACTGCAAACCGCAATAAATCATAGTCGGCGGGGGGTACTTAAACCCCGCAATCCAAGGACAGGCACACAATGGCGCAATGGGGCGGGGGAGGGGGGAGGGGCAAAGCCAAATGTGGAACAAAATCAAACTTTTGCGAAGCGATAGAGCCGCCTACAAAGGAGGCGATAAGGAGGCCAGTGTGCAACAGTGGAAACAACAGGTGTTGCCACACCGACACCAGGCACAGGCAGGGGCAGGGGCACAGGAAAGAGTCTCATGGGGAAAGCGGAAATAGAAATATAAATCGTTTGGCCGTTGCCTACTTTTTCGCCGGAATGGCGGGCCCCTCTCTCCCTCTCTCTCTCTCTCTTTTAACTGCATTTGTTGGCTGCATTTAAACATGAGGCTAAGCTGAAACAAACACACACACACACACAAGAAATGAAAAGTGAAAAAGTTTCAAGCTACAAAGTTTGTGGCGCAACTTGTTTTTCTCGCACCTTCTGCGGTGCGGCAGAGAGAGAGAGAGGAGGGATCTGCGAGAGCAAAATGCAGTTACAAAACTTGCAGCAACCGCAATTCAATTAAAACTTCAATGTAATGCCAGTGTGCACCCACACAGGCACACAGACAGAAGGCACACAGACACACGCACAAACAGACGCTTCTTAGCCCCGAGATGGCAAGTGGCAACTGGCATGTGGCAAGTGGCATGTGCGCCTTGGCTGGCTTCAAACTTTGTGCTGTCCCCACACACACACACACATTCTCGGCAGCTGTCCCTCCATGTAAACAAACCCCATTGAATGGGGCAGAAGCAGCCAGGCAGCAAGGACCTGCCAAATGAGCAGCCGGTCGTAGCCGGCTTTCCTTCCGCATGGAGAGCTCTCTCTTTGGAGAGAGTTTATCCGCGCAGGCGCCTGCCCGGCGGCCGTCGGATCGTTTGGCGGATGCTATAAAAGCCCCCGTTTCGGGGCCACTGCCAGGCAGTTGGTTCGCGGCGCTCCTTCGGGCTACTCTTCCCCGAAAATCTCAAAGGATCCAAAAGTGCAGCAGAAGCAGCGGCTCGTGTGTTGTTTTGTGTGCGCTTCGAACTCTGAACTCTGTTGCGTGGCATGCCACATGCCACATGCTGATGCTGACGCGGCCGTGGATGCTGTGCTGCGGTTTTGAAGCAATAATAAAAGCCGTATAGTAATTAGTGCTCGCTTGTGGATTTGCGAAATTAAATTAGGAAGCGCACTGGAAAAGTGGAAAATGTGAAAAATATAAATATAAATAAAGTGACACAGGAAACCCAACAGACAACAGCCAACAGACAACAGACCCTTCAGAGCTTCAGTACTTTATGGAATTACAATTTTCGAATCAAATCAAATCAAATTAAATGCCATTACAAACCGCAGACACTAATCCGATTTAGATGGCAATTTAATTGGCATTCAAATCAGATTACACGCACAACTGGCCCAAGTGGCACGAGTGGCACAAGCTTTTCTGGCCATCTCCCATTGAGGAATATTTGTGGAGATAATACTGTCCCTGGGCCACATTCAAAGGGTGAATATGGACTCGCAATGAACGGAACAGCCTCATAGAATCCTGTTAACAAAGGTAAGCACACCACCAAAGACAATGCCGGGACCAATTAGCTCTCCTATGTTCTATGGTTCTCTTCGAGACTCGCGAGACCCTTCTAGGACGCAAGATTACCAAAAACCAACTACATGGCTTGTGCATGATTCACACAACTGCATACATGGATACAGGGCACGAGCCCTAGAGCCAGGGCTCCACTCTACACTTCTTGCTGAGCAATTATTGGATGGTCTTTGCCCTTCTATGGCATGGCATAGCACCCCCTCTGGCATCGGTTATGAGGCGACTATCTGCAGTAGGGAAACCTCAAGTCCAAATGATAATCATTTGTTGTTGGCTGTAATGTGGCTTTCTTTGTGGATTGATTTATGTTCTCCTGTACTTTAGTGGTGGGGCACACATGTGTGGTGGTGTGTGGTATGTGGCATTCTGAATAATTACAGAGCACAGCATCCTTCTGCCGAAACTTTGTTTTCAGGCATTCTACGAGTACGGGAGGAGTACGAGTGGAGAGTATAGCCACAATTTCATATTGTTACAAAATTGCATTGTTAATGGCCGTTGGCAGCCCTCTCTCTCTCGACTGTCGACTGTCGACTGTCGACTGTCGCTTGTCCCCTGCCCCTGCTGCTGTTCCTTCTGCCGATTGTATCTGTGTGCTCCCTTCCTTGCCAAATGGCCAAATGGCTCCAATGTGGGTCTCCCAGACAGAGGAGCAGGAAGTGGGGTCTGCAGGCTCCCATTTACATACCCATTGGTTAATGTGCAATCGTCCTTTTATAATGGGGTCAACTTTTTTTGTTGCTGCCTCAGCGTAAAATACTATCTGCGGCTGTGTCTCTATGCCAGCGGAATGCCAGGATGCTTCCAGGATATAATAAAAATAATCCCAGCGTATAGATAATGGATAATGGGGTTGGGGCGGGCAGCGGCAGCGGCAGCCCTTTGCACAGTATCTGTGTTTACGAGTATGTTCCTGTGTACGTGTGTGTGTGTGTGTGTGTGTGTGTGGGTGCATGCCCCCGCATGTGCTAGATCTATGCTAATTTTCCAGTTAAGTGTGCTTTGCATAATGAACCCCACCGGTGGATGGGAGGATTATGTTGGGGGAGACCTCCAATCGCTGACCGAATGATTTTTGCCTCCCAGGCCATTGCCATTCGATCTTTTGATTGGTCAAACCTTTTAGTTTACATCCCAATCGAGGCCTCCTCCCCCCCAGAAACAATGACAGCAAACAGGCACAACAGATACGCTCTTATGACATTAAGTGGCATTATAATTACAATTTGCACAAAGGAGCAGGCGGCCCCGGGACACCCGCGACCCCAGCGACCCTTAACCCGACACCGCCGATAAGGGGAGGGGAGGGGAGGCTCCACTTAAGTCAGGGACAGGGTTTAACAGCATTCAACGTTGGGCGATGCCAGGACAGCAGCTAGGACTTGGTCCTAGGCTAAGCCGTTGCCGTTGCCACTGCAGAGCCAATTAGCAAATACTCATCCGCTTGGCAAATAATCCGCTCAGATTTTAATTAATTGCCTGCCCCGCCCACAGCCCCCTCCTTATGCCGATAATCGACTGCTGCAGCAGGTACACTCGCAATCGTAATCGCAGTATTTTATCTTGTTTTTATGCGATGAATGTTTACCGAGATTCGGATTTTAGAATTAATTGTGCGTATAAATTTCCCGGCGAGCAGAAGATGGGGCACCACCACATCCTTCCTTAATGGAGTAAGAGCCGGTGCCGGTGCCGATGCCGATGCTGGGGCAACCTTTTGGCTTTTGTTTTTGTTTAGGGCCCCATCGTCGGGGCCGGGGGGAAGGGCAATAAATTCACTCTCGTCGCAAATGAGTTTGCATAATTCAAAGAAAGCAAATTGAAACATCTTCGCCCCCATTTATCCTTCTCTTTTTGGACTGGAAAGTATTTGTTTAGCCGTAAGTGGATTTACTTCAATTTTGTATGATTTAAGCATTCGATTCGTGGGCCGGGGGAAGAGGCATTGAGCCAATGATTGGGTGCTGGAATGATGGACGACAAGTCCCTCTCAATCATCGTGACTCGAACAGAGGCATACCTATGCTTAGCACAACTCATGCTGCCACACAATGGTGCCACATTTGTGGGATCGCATCGAGAGATTGCCGGGATGCGAATCAATAAAATAGGAATTTAATATAGCCACAGCCACAGCGCGTGCCTCAGCAAAAGAAGCGGCAGACGGAAGAAATTGAAGAAAGTTGTTATGCAAGAATTTCATTGTTCATTGAGAAAGTTTCAGCCGGCAAGAGAGCAAGAGAGCAAGCAACGTTTTCCCCACAATTGTCCTCTTGGCCAAATTATTTACATGCCGGGATATCTGTCTGTCAGTCTGTCTGTCTGTTGGGGTGGCATTCACTCAAGTATCTTCCAGATACTCGCAGTTCGTTGCACAGAAGTCGTTCCCCCGGCGTGGCGCTCAATTGTGAGGCAGATAAAACTATTTAAGCCGCAATACAAATACAATCTGCGTGATCCATCCAATGGTAGCCATGATTACCCGCGATGGCTCTGCCGTCTCTATAAAATTAATTTTAAGACACTCTGGGCTTAATCATTCGCACAGATAAAAGGAAAGGCGACAGTTGTCCCTGCGGATAATTGCGAATGCGTGTGGAACGGACGGACGGAAGGACTTCGCTCTGGGGGGGGCCTTGGATTCTTTTGGGATCCAGGACCAGAGAAGAGACCCCTGCCTGGAATTTTAGGCATAATTTGGGCACAAAATATTTTTGCTGCTTTGTGCAGAATGTTTGCCCCCAGACGCCCAGCCCCCTCTTTGTCGTTTAGCCAATCTGAGACCCAAATAAAGAGCCCAGCCGCCCCGCCGCCCACCACTTGTGGCAGTTCGGACGGCAGGCGTGCTGGAGCTTTTAAACTGCCACAGGACCCGGGATCGGGTGGGGTTTGGGGACTCTGGATTGCTGTAGCTATCAGTTTTACGAGTCCTTTGAGGGTAGCACTTGTTAAACTTGCTTTCCGAGCCGCTCGCATTGTTGTCAGGTCAAGTCTGGAGAGGCGGGAGGCTGGAGGTTGGAGCAGGGACAACTTGAAACATGTCAGAGATTTGCGTTCACCAACTGCCTTTTGATATTCAATCATCCTCTAGAAACACACTCTGGAATGGTATCCCTTCCGACCAGACCCAACACACACACACATGTGCTAAATATGACATTCAACTGTCCTTCAATTCCCCTTTTAATAAGGTCCGATTTGTACTTTCAAGTGTAACGAACCACCAAAAGACGGGAAGAGGGAAAGAGAAGCAGGAATCAACGCGTGGAATCGGCTTTTTTTCAATTTCAAAATGAACTCAGTCGAAAGGGAAATAATAACTGAACATGGCTCTCAGAACAATGCTAAGATTCGTCTGGTGTTTTGGGACTTATTCCCTGGAGTGGTCAGCCACAGTCAGAGCCAGAGAGGAGCTGGCAAGTGCATAAAATATACATTTAGCCTTATCCGTGGGAATGTTGGAGTTTCTCCGCCTGATTTACGATGGCCCGGTGACTCGTTCATGGGATTACCTACCCACCTTTAACGTAGTTTCGAGATTGCATGCCAACCGAAGTTTATTTGGAATTCAAAAGCTTTTAACAGATTGTCGCAAGAAGTAACTTTGCCAATTTGCAAAAGTTCAACGGAACAGCACAGCAGAACACCAAAACAAATGGATTAACGGCAATAGAAACGAAGAAAAACAAGTGAGAGAGCATACATACATACATTCGAGTGAATTGGTACGACTACAAGATACCGATTACTCAATTACACTCCCGCCAGGCGCTCTCTTTGCGGGGCCTATTTAGCAGAAAGAGTTGCCCTCTCAACGAAACGCAGAGTACTCCACTCTCTGGAAAACTTCCTACTAACGTTTCTGCTACATTAAATCTGCGAATTTGTCACCTTTGTTGTTGTTGCGGTTTCACGAGCACAGTAGACATACCCGAACATTCTGCTCTGCTCTTACGGGGTAGCATAACAATAACAATTACACTGATTGCCGCCCCCGGGGAATATGATGGAGAGAGAGTGGGTGGAGTGGGTGGAGTGAGTGGAGTGACGACCTGCCGGTCGGCCAAACGGAAACGAACAGAATTCTCATAATGGAGCATAGCGGATCGGACAGGTCCGTCCGGAGCACAGGTTCCTCCGCTGCACAGTCGCTTCACGGCCGACTTGGCCAGTTTTTCTGGGCCAGGGCCCGGCCATAAAACAATTGAGGGCTCAATTTTGCGCGGCCGGCCGCATTTGCATTCATCGCTGTTTCACATTTGTTGTTCATTTTCCCCGGCCTTCAGTGTGTCCAAAGGATGCGCCCAAAAGCCCCAACCGGGGGATATGAACATTCAGAACGTTTCGGGTTGTAGTCGCAACTTTGTTAGGGTTCCGCTGAAAGTTGCAACTGCAAAGGGAAGCCAACATTTATCTGTCAGAATGTTTTGTGTTGCCATTTCTGTGGCAACTGGGGCAAGAGTAGCATGCTGCAGCGGAAGCCAATCTATAGGGCTTAAGAGTACTCCATATGTGTGTAAACATTCAATTTTATTACACGTTTCTGCTGAAACAGCACGTATGATAGGTTCTTTTGATTTTCTTTGAGTAATTTTAACCGGTTAATGTAAACAGAATTGATCGACTTTTACAGCAGCTTTCTAGGAAGCTTTCAGCTTTCGCTCATTAAAAATGTATGCATGAATGTGTGTGCGTATGTTATGTATATGTGTATTGGTTCATCACTCACCTTTCAGCAAAATCATGTCGCTTCGTGTCATTCATTGCCACGTTGCTTTTCCTCCTCTGCTGCACCTTCTGTTCTCTGCTCTTCTCCTTTGAGAGAGAGTTTTATACAAAGATCAACACAACAACACATTAAACCGCAAGACCGACCGAAGGAATTGTAGGACAATTTTAGAATATCACACGATTTTCGAAGACACTTTTTACCGACCAAAACAGCAAAATATCGCGGAGCCACGCTACTGTGGAAGTGATTTGAGAGATCTGCATTGGCTGTGCTAATTCTTATTCTCTCTTCTTCTTCCTCTGCTGCAGTGCAAGCTTCACTCTCAGAAAGAAGAGCGAAAGCTTGAGAGCGTGAGCTTGAGCTTTAGAGCGAACGAACTTCATTTAAGATATTTATTGCACAAGCGCGTGATTTTTATTTTCTCTTCAACTTCCTTCCATTTCATTCGTGGAATGAAAAGTGCCACTGGATCTATGCGAGCTCCCCACTCCCCTCCATTGGTGCAAAACACTTACTTCAAGTGCATTCTCTTTGGAATTCTAGAAACTCGCCTTAATCAGAGCTCTCTTTTTTATCTCTCCAGCACCACAATGAATGTCAGCGCGATTTAAGTGGTGTCGTCTCTGCACTGAAAGGGGAAGGGAAGGCCCAAAAGAAACCAACCAAAGCCGGAACGTGACTTTTGCCGAAAGTAAATTGAGCCACCGGCCACCGCAGCGATAAAAGGCTGCGATGCCAAGCAGCGAAATTCGCTAGGATTCGCGCAGTCAAAGAGATAAAGGATCTATCCATGCGCTACGTGCTGCCCATGGCTCCCACTTTGGGTGCATCAGCAACAGTCCCAGCCCCAGCCCCAGCCCCAGCCCCAGCCCCAGCGATGAGCAGGTATGACAGTAGGCGACACCTTTCCCAGTCGCACGCTCGGATGCTGGTCCTGTTCCTGCAGCTCCTGGCAACGGGCGCCACTGCAGCACCAGCCCCAGCACCTGCCGCAGCACCAGCAGCAGGCCCATTGTATCGCAGTACCCCAGCGGATAGCCAGCGCTGTGCACACAAGGGCATAGTGGAGCTGATTCGCACGAGTCCTGTCATTGTAAAGGCCCTCGCTGCCCGGGTCTTCACCGATGCGGAGCTCGACGATGGCCAGGGCTCTGACACCGAAACTGCTCTGTCCGCCGGTATATTAATAACATTAGCCCCGGAAACGATATACAAAGGAGCCTCTCTGCTGAAAATTGCCAATGGCGCCAACGGCGGAGAGGCCACACTGTCGCTTCGGGCCGGAGGAGGGATGTCCAGCAGCGGCGGCGGCCATCGCAACGGAGGCAGCGGCAATGGATCCGGAAGTGGATGTGGAAGTGGAAATGCTTGGAGCGGCACTGAGTCAGCGTTTCAGTACGAGGGGTAGGTGCAGGGACACTGCTTTTTGGTGACATTCAGAATGTACACTCTACTCTTTGTTCCCGCAGACAGCTGAATGCAACACTCCAGCCGGCGCGCTGCTTCGACGCAAATATGCTGAAAATGCTGCCAGCGGAATTAATTGCCTTTGGCAAATTGTTGCCTGCCGCCACAGCAGCAGCAGGCCCCAACTCCGGCAGACAGCTGCTCCTGCCACGAGCGCCGGCCAGTGATGTTCTGCACATAAGCATCAACGGTCTGCATCGCTGGACACCGCAATTCGAGAATCATATCTGGAAGCATTTGGGTAAGGCATCCACATCCTGTGTCCACTTACTGGCCACTCCTCCCCCTCTACCAAGCCCCAAGTCCCGAGGGCATCCGTTAGTTAATCGCATTTTGCTTGTTAGTTGCATTGTTGAACAAATCGCTTGGCTCGAATGTTTGCCGAGCATCGAGTGCCATGCAACGGATAGGGATAGAATTTCCAAACTATAGTCGTCGCAGAGTAGAGACCAAGTGGTCGGGCAATCAGTATTAATTGGCACATGAGGGTTTTGGGAGACAGCAACGCTGCTGTTTGCCAATGAATCGGTTCGGACTTGAAAGCCCCGGCACTTGGTCTCTTAAAGCCGATTATGCAGTATTTTTAAACCCACTGGGAAGGAAAACTTTTGCTAGTCAGTCGCCAGTTTATTATGACGAAGTGCTCTCCTCAGAGATGAATCTTTTATGAAGATTGATAACTATACGAACCACCGACCCCCCGACACCCCGACCGACCGACCACGACTGGTCGTCAGGGAGTCAGGCAGTCAGGCTGTGTCGGTGCCAGAGGTGACGCTTCTGCATGAAAAGAAAAATAAAATAAAATAAAATAAAAAAAATAAAAATAGAAAAGGGATTTTCCGATGACGCAGCAGATGTCGCCTGCCTCTGCCTTTGCCACTGCCCCTGCCCCTGCGCATAGTCGGGGGGTGGCAGGAGGAGAGATGCTTTCAACTGGCTGCAGCACTCGAGGGAAGAAACACTTGACTTTTGTGTCAAGCGGCTGGGCGCCCACCGAGAGCCCCCCGAATGAATTGCGACAACCCGATGAGGGACCTTTAATTTAAGGAAAATACTCCCTCAGCGAGGAATTTTTTAGTTTTTCTGGGGCTAAGAGTGTCACTTTTTCACCCAATTGCAGGATGGGATGATTGGAGCGACTTCACCCTATGCAGCGTCACCTGCGGAAAGGGGGTTCAGCAGCGTTTCCGCCGCTGCCTGCTGGACAACCCGATGGTGGACATGAATATGAAGATGAACCAGGAGGAGGAAGAGGAGGAGGAAGAGGAGGAGGAGGAGGCCGAGGAGGAAGACGATGATGTGGACATGGAAATGGTAGAGCAGATGGACGACACCGCAAATGAGATTGCCAGTTCTAAGGAGGCGAATAACGATGGCATTCTGGACAGCCTGAAAGCAGACACGTCCAACGATGGTGATGACGAGGCAGAGACAGAGGCAGAGTCCCTGCTCCTCCAACAAGCGATGACCAGCGATGAGCCGCTGCACAAATTCGCACAGATGGCAACAGCCCAGCCCCAGGCACCTGCCCCCATCGTGGGAACAAACAGCAGTAATGAGGCAGCAGCGGTAGGCAAAAGTGTCCGATTTGTGCCACGGGATGAGGGGGAAGCCCGAGCCGGAGCCGGAGCCGGAGCCGGAGCCCCAGTCGGTAGCAGGAAGACACGTGCCAGCAATCAGCACAAGAAGCGCAAGTCGGCCAAGAGTGTGGCTCTGTCGACCCTCCTCTGCGAGGGCTACAACATCGAGCAGCGCAACTGCAATAGCTTCGAATGCAGTGGTAAGTGCAGTCCTTAACCTCCACAAGGCCCTTAAAGCCTTTAAAGCCAACCTCTGCCCACACAGATGACATTAGCGATCTGCTCAAGTTCTACAAGAAGCTGCCACTCATGGAGGAGCTGCCCACGCAAGCCTCCGAATCGGCAGCAGCAGTGGGCTCGGTCTCGGTCTCGGCCTCGACGTTCCCTGAGATGCAGATGCAAGATCTCACCACCGCTGCATCGTCGCCCACACCCTCGGCGCCCTATAACATGGGCTACATTCGAAGCTGGCGGAACATACTGAACTTTACTCTGATGATCACCCTCAGGGCAAAGGTGAATAAGGGGGGCCCAGCGGCTTAGCAGAGACTAATCTATGTCTGTATTCCTTGCAGAACGACACAAAGAGTACGGCCACCATATTCTCCATACGCAATGCCACGCATAATCTGTATCTGGAGGCGTGCAGCGATGGTCTGCGCCTGTATCTGGAACGCGACAATACAACGGAAATGTTGCCGGTGAAATTCAATTTATATGATTATCGCTGGCATCAAGTGGCCATCAGGTGAGTGGCCATCAGGGTGGGACAGGTACTGGGACTGGTACTGGGACTGGTACTGTGACTGGGATGGCTGCAATGGATGCTATGCTTGTTGTATTGTTGATTGCCAATCACTGTGTCTGTGTTCGACATGGTATACGACTACATGTGTGCTGTGTGTGCTGTGTGCTGGGTGGCACTCGATCTGGAATGGCCATCGTCGTTGACACTTTCCTTTTTATTTGCATTTTCAATTTATTAGCATAAATGTTTGTGCCATGAAACGCACACTGGCAAACACTTGACACACATGCAAATAAGGGTACACACCCCCGCACACACCCACGCCCCCGCCCTTTCTGTACATGAATATCGAACGCCTTTTGGTCTATTTTTGTTGTCGTTTTGGTTTTTGGTTTTGCGACGACACACAGCGAAATTGACACTTGGTTCAAGTGGGCGCCATTTGTCATCGGCCGACGGCACATTTCGCACACTCACTGCTCCAAACACACACACACACATAGGTATGTAGGTATATACGCCACACAGATACAGTACAGTACATATTGTATGGGTGGTATGGTACACATTTGTAGGATATTGTAGGTATATATTTAAATAATTTGTATGTGGTCTCTCGTGTTACTATTGGTATTGTTTTACTGTTATTTTCCCATTGCAGCATACAAAATGGCGATTTTATATCGATCTACGTGGATTGCGCGTGGACAAATAGTTTTGTTGTCTCGAAACGACTGTACACCCTGCCAATAGATGCGGACGTGGAGATTGGACGCGGTTTTAATGTGAGTATATCAAGCCCCCTCCGCCTCCACCCTCCCCACACACCCACGGATTGTGCCACTGTGCCACCCTGTCAGCCGCCTCTTAAAAAGGCAGCTGCATTCTCGGGGCCATCCACAAATGGGGGCCAGCAATTTAATCCGATAAATAACCGTATACATGCTGCACCCCCGCCCCGGCCCCCGTTGACCAATCAGAAAGGGAATTAAATAATAATTCGCTGATAATTGTGTATTGTTTGCTCTGACGACTTTCGCTTTTCCACTTTCCGCTTTCCGCAGGGAGAGCTGCAGCAGCTGCTGGTCCTGCCCGAGCACCAGGAGCGGCTTCAGTGCAGCAACAAGCGGACATCCATCAACGAGGTGAAGCGCTACATCATCGACACATTCATCGAGGACTACGGCGGCAATTGAAGCGTGTAAATATGCAATGCCGCCGAATGCAGAACAATAATTACAAGCAACAACAACAAGAACAGCAAATGGCAGGACATCCCCGCACACATATACACAAACACATACATATTGCATATGTACGAGTATGGAGTGGGGGGAGAATGGGAATCCAAGCCGAAATTCGATTCCATTTGTGGGCTAATCAAAATGGCATTTCATTCAAATATATGTATCTATGTATAAGTGCAACAACAAATGTATCTATAAACATGATATGCAAACTAAACACACACACATATGTAGATCACACAGATACACACACAAACACACAATGTGATTCATGCCTGATGGCGCATTCCATTGCATTCCATTCCGAAATGTCGTGCTGCTAGAAGTGGCCCCCAAGAATACACACAGACCGGACCGGAAAAAGATGTCCTCTGTGCGATTACGATTACGCATCTCACTCGTTGCACGTTGCATTAAGTTAATTTTGACGGAATACAATAAAAGTAATCGCTGGAGAAGTGTCAGGAGGGATCATCGCACGAGGGGGGCAAAAGTGAAACAGAAAAAAGATCAAATATATTAATTAAAGACATACGATATGTAATGGTAACTGGTAACTGGTAATTGTTATTGGTGTCGTCTTTTCTTTCGTGGATAATTCTTGGGATTGCCAGTGGATCTGAGGATTTTGTGCATTCAACTGAGGGCTTGAGTGTCAATTTAAATTTCAAAACCAGACTTGAGAAGAAGAGAACTTAAATAGACAGCTGCCGAGCTGCTGCTAAATTCATAATTTCCTTTTGGCTGCCGCAAAAAAACAAAACCGTCATTCGGCATCCGTTTCTGTGGCTTGCTTTCTGCCTGCTTTCGTCCGTAAATAACCTCCTGCGAAAGCCCCACACCGCCTCGGCCGCCATTGGCAATCGAATTCCAGCCCCAACCTCACCTTCTTTCCGTATCCTTGTGTTTTTCAATAGCTCTCTCTCTCCCCCTGTTTTCCTCGTCCTGTTTTTTCCACTATCACCCGGGGGGGTTGAGTGCATGCGACAGACGGTGGAGACATTGATGAATTTCCTGTCGCACTTTCCTTGGCACTCACTTCGGGCTGGCAGCTCTGGTAGATGTGGCAAGTGAAGCGTCTGCTTGTCTGAACCCCATCGCTTGGCAACGTCAAAGAAACTTGCAGCCCCCCGTTGCCTACCCTACCAGTATTGTGGCTTAATAACTTCTAATCACGACATCGCGGTGCATTGAACCGCAATGCCAGCCCACCATTACCCAGCGGTGGGTAATGGACGAAAAGAAAACTTCTTTAAAATCCTTGATACCATTTGCCAATGTGTGTGACACACATATCCGATCAGCGTGCGGAGACATACGGAGGATATGCGAAGCAATTAGTTTTGGAATGCGACGCTTATGATTGTCAGCTCCCTGCACCACTATCGTTAATATCTTGCAGCCCGGCAAGGGCCCCGCAAGGGCTATTACCTTCATAAATTAATGACACCGCGACACCCGAGTGCCAACAGACGGCTCATGTAATTCATTGGAAAGTTCTGTAAATGCGAACAAATATGCCAAGAACATGTGCGTACGAGTACACACGGGTATTTTTGTTAAAGTGGAATTTCATTTATTTATGACTGCGCTGGGAGCAACGGATTTTTACACGGCTTCAACTTCATGCGCGAATTCCTTCTCCGCTCTTAACTCCTGCTCCCTAGGGCCGCAACTCCAAATTACCCTCAAAATAAAGAAGTTTGAATTTAAAACTGAATCAAGCGGTCGGTCCACAGTCAATCACAACCCAGGCTCACCAAAGGCCCTGCACGGATGTGCACGAATGGCTCTATGGACGGATGGGATGATGGGCTTTGATGCGGATGCGGATGCTCCCCCACTGCTCTGACTGCTGTATAAATGCCTGTATTTGTATAGAGCAAGCAAAATGAACTGTAACAATATTGATGCAGCTGACATCGGAGGTTCAACCAGAACAAAAGTATTGCAGAACATCACCCCCTTTTCTGTCTGGATGCCAGACGACTATCCTGTCGATGAGTTGAACTGAGCTCAGTTCAGTTTTCCCCCCTTCATCAGACGCGGAAGGCGCTTAGCAACAAAAGTTCGACCATAGGTTAGTTTGAAATTAAACACAAGGTAACTCCTAAATGTATGAAGTACTTCTAACGTATATTAAGGTATTTTTCACGAGTTTTGTCACAGCGACTGAACGTACTTCTTAAATAAACAGTACAGCTGTCTTTGAAGCTCAAAAATCTGTACTATGAATAATTAGGCTGAATTCAAACTTACCGCCAAAGCGTCAGCGTCTATCGATTTCCCAAAGACTATCGAACAGTGCGACCAGGCATTGTGCCTGAAATTAAATTTGTTTAAAAAACAAAAAGTAGCGTGTTAGCGGGCGGCCGAGCATATTATTTCAGTCTTTTTTGTACATTTCATTTACTTCTACGCCACGCCCACGTTGTCGGAATATGGCAACAGCATGCCACCGCAATACAGTTTTAAATTTGATGCGCGGCGCTGCCCACCGCCTGGCGATAACGGATGGCGACCGACATTTCACACGAGTTGGCACGCTTGTGCATAAACGCATCTTCTGCACCAAAACAACCATTGGATTTCGACAACAAATGGACCACACAGTGCCCCCCAAAGAGTTCAAATGGACGCCCGGCAACATGATCAACGAAAACTTCAAGCTGGGCGACAACGGGCATGTGTGTGTTGTTCTTAACCGACAGATTCAGGTTCCAGCTCACGTGGTTAAATCGTTATGGAAGAATGGTAACTAAAGCAAGTCTCTCCCCGGGGAGACCTTTAGATGCTGGGTGCTAATGAATCTATTTTTCTTGTGCAGCGGCCGTGCGTTGTGCCGTTGATGGAGGCTCTAATCACTGGCGGGAGTTTTTGCTGGGTCAAGGAGCAACCAAAAGGCCGAAGGGCGCGCCAGCAACGGGGGGGCCGTTCGAACCACTCGATGTGATAACAGGCGACTTTGACTCAATAACGGAGGAAACGGTCGATTTCTTTAAATCAACGCCCAAAATACACACTCCGGATCAAGATGCAACAGATTTCACCAAGGCCATCACAGTGCTTCAACCCGTGATGGCGCAGCGTAAAATCCATGATGTTATCGTATTCCACGACACCTCGGGTCGCCTCGATCAGGTTATGGCCAATCTGAACACCCTGTATAAAGCGCAAAAAGACAATTGCAATGTGTTTCTGTTGAGCGGAGACTCAATAACGTGGCTCCTGAGGCCGGGCAAGCACACGATACAGGTGCCACTCGATCTGGTGAAAACCCAGAGATGGTGCTCCCTAATGCCTGTTGGATCAATGGCGCACAATGTAACGACGACAGGCCTCAAGTGGAACCTATGTTTGTATACAAATATATATATATATATCGTTATATATTTAATGCGATTCTATTTATCTTGAAGATCACACCCAAATGGAATTTGGCGGCATGGTCAGCACATCGAACACCTACTCTACAGAGTTCGTTCAAGTGGAAACGGACGCCAACTTAATATGGTCCATGGGGGCATACGATTTTGAGGAGAAGTTACGTCAAACTTCCAAGTGAGCGGTGAGCGGTGATCGATGATCGCTTATCGCTGGGACGCGACGACATTGGGTGTGTTTTGAGTACTTAATTAAGTGAAATTCACCGAAGTTGTACAATTTTAAATGCGAGTTTCTTTTAATGCTGTTACAGCCAAAGATGCAAGCGGCTCCAGCGCTTACTTTTCTAAGTCTTACTCTAGTTCTAGGGCAATGTTACTGTTAAACGAAAAGAAATGAAAGTTGAAATGTGACAAAAATAATGCGTGATCGTTTGTGGATCGTTTTCGTTTCGCTGAAGTATGATGATGCCCGATGCCACGATGTCACGATGCCGATGGCTTTACTTTGATCCTGGAATGGGCATCAGGTCAAAGCCAAAACTGCTTCCGGTTTTCTTACTTTTCCAGCCAGATCCAGAAGCGGCTCCGGCTGCATTATCTGCGCGCTTAGCTGTCGTTCTACTGCCACGACCTCCTCTACCTGCAGTAGTGGTCCTTTTTGGCGCTGGAGAGGCTGAATTACTTTTAAATTTCTTGCTCGATCCCGATTTAAAGGTCCTTTTTCGTTTTCCGCCGCGGTAGGAGGAGCCGTAACTGCCTCCGCTGGCACCTTGCGATGTCACAGCCCTGTCCCAATCCACGGCGTCGTCCTTGGTTTGCCAGCCTGAGCTTCCTGTGGCCCGAGGCTTCTGTACTGCAGCTGCAGCTGCCGCCGCAGCCGCCTGCTCCTCCTCCTCGTCCAAAATGGCTTGCATAAGAAGCTTCTCTGAGGCATAATTACACGTTATCTCAAGGAGTTTCTCGCCATATTTATCATAGTTAGCCTTCGTCACATGAGGAATGCTGCACATGTCTTTCGCTGTGAGCGGCAGAAGCTCCGCCATACTTTTGAGAGCCTGTATATTCATGATGCTAGCCATGGTGACGTTTCGCTGACTAGCTATCGTGCGGCACAAGTCGAGAAGATCAGTGTAGCAGCGATCGTGTATTTCGCGCATCTTCGACTTTCCATCGTTGTTGCTGGCAGCTCCCGGCTCAGATACAGTGGCCACCGCTGTTTTAGCCTCCTTTCGCGTTGTGGCAAAATGGAATTCGGGCGTACCGTCCATTAGTTTGCTTATGCTGTGGCCCAGGTACAGATAGGCCTGCGGAAAGTCATTCAAAACTATCAGATCTTCCCGTAGATAGCCATCAATGACCATTTTCCGCAGCAGCCTCTGTATATCGTTCTTTTCCCAGTCTTTTAGAGAGCCATGATGTGGTGTATTGTGGTGCCCGAAGTCCACGATTTTCTTTATCTTGCTACCCTTTAAGACGTCGGATATGTGAAGGAGCGTGAAGCGCGACCTTCCACTGCACAGATCCTTGACAGCTCGCGCCGCCTTTCTGGCCGGCTCCAGTGCATCAACTGGCTGATAGGCTCGCTTATTCCCGCAGTTATCGCAAGCTGTGGCCCTATTCTCCAGACACTGTTCGCTGGTGAAGTGCTCGCCAAAGTAGTCCAGCTGCTGGGCACGCCGGCAGTCCGTAATGTTCTCACAGTAGCCCACAATGCGGTACAAGTTGTCGATGTGCATCTTCTTGACATTGTACTGAAGAGCTTTATCGCCTGGAATTTGGGATATGGAAGAGCCATAGGGTGTTTCTATAAACGGAGCAACTTACCATCCATCATCTTCTTGAGTCTAAGCATGTCCGAATAATTGTAGTATAGAATGCAATCGGCGACCTCTCCGTCTCGCCCCGCCCGTCCTGCCTCTTGATAGTAGCCTTCAATGGATTTTGGCAGCGAGTAATGCAGGACAAATCGAACATCGGGCTTGTCGATGCCCATGCCAAATGCAATAGTGGCACAAATCACTCGGATCTTGTTGGTCAACCAATCCTTCTGGCGACCCTCCCTCTCCGAATCGGTGAGACCGGCATGATAGGCCACGGCGCGAACTCCGTCCTTGCACATTTTCTTGGCCACTTCATCGCACTCCTTGCGCGACAGGCAGTAGATGATCCCACTCGAGTTGGGTGGCTTGGTCCTAATATAGGCACTCATGTCGTCGATAGTGGAGGCTCCCTTCTTCGGCAGTACTTTGTAGCGCAGGTTGCTCCGATTGAAGCTGGACAGGAACCACTTGCAGTTCTTCAAATTGAGTTGCGACAAAATGTCCAGGCGCACGCGGGGAGTGGCAGTCGCCGTTAAGGCTATGGTGGGAACGTTGGGGAAACGCTTCTTCAGGATTCCCAATTTCTTGTAGTCTGGCCGAAAGTCGTGACCCCACTGGGACACACAGTGCGCCTCATCTATAACAAAACGACTGATGTAGTTATTGGCGTTTAGAGTGTCCAATATGTCCTGGAAGCGAGCGGAGCTGCTTATCTTCTCGGGCGTGACATACAGCAGTTTGACCATGGGAGGATGCGATTCCAAGTCCCTATAAATGGCCATGACATCGGCCATTGCCACATCGCCAGACAAACTCTTGGAACAGATCTGTTATAACGAAGCGTGAGGAAGTGTTAGCAAATGTCAGAAATATTTACAGGGCACTGATATTACTCACATCCAGAGAAGCCAGCTTATTGATCTGGTCAAAGATCAGCGACTTTAGGGGACTGATAACAATGGTCACGCCCTCCGTTAGTATGGCTGGAAGCTGGTAGCACAACGATTTGCCACCTCCCGTTGGCATGAGCACAAAGCAATCATTGCGCAGCAATGTGGCATTGATGACTTGCAGCTGATTGGGACGGAAACTCTTCAGGCCGAAGCTATAGCTTAGGCCGTGCATTAGGCGAGTAGAGTGCTCAAAGTGTTGGCCGTCAAACTCGCCGGTGACGCCGTCATTGTGCACATTTGAATGAAAATTACCAGATATCTTCTGAGCATCGGTTGAGGTCGGCTGCGACCGGCTGGTGGGAGTTCGACTGCAGCTGGGACCCGATGTTAGATCAGTTATTTTGCTGAAGCTTCTGCTGCAGCTGGGACTGGGGCTGGTTAGATCCGTAATGCTGGCAGAGGCAGCCTGAGAATGCATTTGCTCGAAAATTGTCTCATCATACTCGGGGAAACCATCATCGTCCAATGAAAGAGTTTTGGGGGTCTCCTTAGGCTTAGGCTTTACGGACTCAAAGTCCTTATTCCTAGGGATGGGCTTGACTACCTCAAAATCTGTATTGCCTCTGTCGTTGGGCTTAATTTGCACTGCCTCAAAATCTTTATAGCCATAGCCGTTATACTCGGACTTGCGGCCCTGCCTCTGCTGATACTCGTTCTCAATATCGGCCAAAAGTCCATCCAAATCATCATCGTCGTCTATCTTGTTACTCTCCTGCGTGTAGCCATTCATGTTCTCATCAGCCAGGTCCCCGTCAAGCAGCATACTCTGAGCCAAGTAGTCGTCCTCCGGGTCCTCACAGAGATCGTGTATAAGCTCTTCACGCTTCCGCAGCATCCCCTGCTCGCGAGCATCTACCATGCTTTGGCTGTTCCCATGGTTAGCCCGATTTTGTTCAGCCTCGATTTCCTGTTCCTCCCGCTCCAAGGCATCCTGTTCCTCCTGCTCGCTCTTGCGGGTACATTGCTGTCTCTCTAGGGTTTTCTGCAACAACTGCGATCGTGCCTTGAACTTCTGTCGCATGATCTTCAGCTTAATGAATGTGCCTGGCTGGAAGCCGACTATTTCCTCAAAGTGATTGGCCGGAATCTGATCAATCAGCGAACAGTATTTGTCCATCAGATCAATGTGCGTGGTGCGAAAAAAGTTGAGCGAAGCCTTGAGGGCCTCCACACTCTGCTGGCTGGGATCCACTGTAAAATTGTCATTTTGGGCCAGTTCGCGCAGGTAGTCGGGCAGAGAGTTATCAAAGACCATGCTTAATTTAGGCTTTGACGCTGCCCCCAGTGGAGGGGTGGGCACGTCTCTGTCCCGTTCTGAATGCAACCTCTTAGCGACGGATGGAATATCCTCCTTGAAAGTGGCCTGATTGTCTTCCAATACATCCTTATGAACTTTTGGCACTGTTCTACGCCATTTACTCGAATCCTCGAACGGTGGGGAGGGGAAATCTCTCGCCCATTCTAAATCCGGTCCCTTAGAGATGGATGGAATATCCTCCTTGGAATTGGCCTTATATTCTTTCAATACATCCTTAGAAACTTTAGCCTCTGCTCTTTGGCTTTTTCTTGAAGCGTCACCTAAAACATTCAGGCCGGATTTATTTGCAGGCTCGGACGCAAATGATGGCGACTCCGATAGAGACATAGAACACTCCTCCAATGTTCCGGTAGCATTGGAATCCTGCGAATCTTTCCTTGTGTTGGAACTCTGTGTTTCATCCTCGTCAGAAGAAGAGGAGTCCAGAAATATTGGATTGTAAACTTTACTTATTTGGCTTCTGGCACCGGAACCTACAACAAAATAAAGAGTTTGAATCAATTCACAGAAGCCCCACAGTGCTCGCCCCCTTACACTTTTTAGTTTGTGTTTGAGTCTGAGTCTGACTACTGCCCAAACTATTGCCCAAGCCGATGAAGCTACTAAGGGTAAGCTGCTTTCTTGGCGCGGCGGGTCTTTTAGACATGGTTGGACTGCGGTAAATGGGCTAAGGATTACAAAACAAAACCATAAACTATGGCTAATTCGTCGAACATAAAACCATTTTAACAATAAACACTAAAAACGCGCGCAATGCCTGTGATTTTTTTTGGCAAACATTCAGTGTGCCCAGAGTGGTGCGTCTCCAACCAGCTGATTGGAGTTGCCAGATGTACTGAAATTGTACATGAAATCTAGCTGAAAGTAGCCACATGAGCACACATACATAGGCTGCAAACAGCTGTAAAGGCTGCTACATGTGTTGTGCGTTCCATGCTTCTTCTTGCTTCTTTTGGTATCTATTAAACAAAGCGTGGCGTGGTAAATAATACTTGGGAATTTGAGCGACTAACTAGTATGCATACGTGAGTGTTTAGTCGAACGGAATCATTGATTTATCGTACTCACACGCATGTATTTCAGGCATAACAACTTCAAGACTCCCTCAGATGCTGATGAGCTTGATGATTTGGACGACGATATGGTTATTGGTGTCATAGAAGAGATCGCTCAGGAGGCTCTTGTGGGGGAGGACGTGTCGGATAGCGACATCGACGAACATGATCTGGCGGATGTGGGGGCGCCAGAACACAATCAAAATGCAGATGAAAACGAGAGCATTAGCAGCGACAGCAGCTTTGATCCCAATGCGGAGGACTCCTCCGACTC